TTTTTAATAGCACTTAAGATTTTATATTTTTTTAAACTTGCTTTTAAATAATTTATCATAAAAATGATTCTGATTTAAACAAGGGGTAAAAGGTGTTCCAGAGCTATTTGATGGTTTTCTTAGGAAAGAAATTCAATTATGACTGACTTTTTATTACTGAATTACTTTATTAATAAAAATACATTTTGCACTTACTCAAAGGCAGTGGGCCAACAATCTCAGAGTGTCCAAGTGAGATCTAGGATTTAGCTCCAATTCTACCATTACCTGCTGGTTTATTTTATTTGTGCCTCATTTTCCTCATCTGTGAAATGAAAGAACTACATAAAAAAAAAAACTGAAGATCCTTTCTAGTTCTAAAAGTTTAGAGCTAAGGATTTAGATTTTACCCCATCCCAGGTGCTGTGGCTGATAGAATCCTCATGTCACAGGACTGTGCCCTCATGCTACTAAGATTTGAGAAAGAAATGAAGCAGAAAGTCAATAAGCCATGTAATCTTTGTTTTCCTGGCAACATTATTTAACAATTTTGGTGAAATGATGACTAACAGTATTTGAAAGAAAAAGAAAAACAGGAATGTTTTTCATAGAGCAGAGGGAAGACATAGTTCCTGGTCTTAACCATCTACATTATTAAAAGCAAAGCCTGGGAATTGGCTTGGTTTCAATCTGGAGAGAGAGTCCTAATCATCTGGTATTGCTAACAGTAATATTTAGAGGCATGCATGCGTGTGTGTGTGTGTGTGTGTGTGTGTGTGTGTGTACTCATCCACAAAGCATTAGTGAACAAAGGAACTATGATCCTATTTGTGCTTATGCACACAATAATATATGATTTAAAATGTTTGGAAGAATATGCTTTAGAATGTTAGCAGTGATTACTACACAGGATAGAGAGGTGAGGCATGAGTGTAGAGGAACTTCCTCTTATTATTTTATATATATTTAGATGGCTTAATTTTCTTACAATGAGCCTTATTATTTTTATATTTAGCAAAAAGCAATACAGTCTTCCATTATGAAGTGAAAAACAAGTAAAGACAATATTTAAAACAGTGTGGGTCTATTTTTTAAAAGGTAGTTTGTAGCTAAAGAAAATGTGGTTTGTGGAATAGGCATTTAATACCAGATACTAGATAAATCAGATACAATCTGTGACCTCAAGATACAGTCTATTGTAAGGGCAAACACATAAACAACCAACTATAATGCAATGTGACCAGCACAAAAATAGATATATGGACGAGCACTGAAACAGCACTGAGAAGCTGTAACAATGATAGTAAACATGGAAAAAGATGTTGGAAATATTCTCCATCCTAACATTCTACTTAACACGTATGTTATGATTTTTAAAATGTATCTTTGTGACTGAGGGTAAACACCAGGATGACTAACAAGAAGTGAACTTGTCCCAGTAGCAATGGAAAAGTCTTTTTTTAAAAAAATTGTGTTCAACACGCCTTTCTGCTGCATTGTTTCCAGGGATGGGTACCAGAGGTAGAACATTCTGAGTCCTACATCCCACTCAGAGGATGGGATTGAAAGCCCTAAAATACCACCTTAGATATCAGAAAGGTGAGAACTGGGAATGGGCAAGATGAGAATATGGAAGAACACAGTAATATGGGGAAGGGAACTAAGTAAGATGGGGAAACTGGAATGACAGTGGGTAATGATCTACAGCAGTGATGGCGAACTTATGACACGCGTGTCAGAGGTGACACGTGAACTCATTTTTTTTTGGTTGATTTTTCTTTGTTAAATGGCATTTAAATATATAAAATAAACATCAAAAATATGTCTTTGTTTTACTATGGTTGCAAATATCAAAAAATTTCTATATGTGACACGGCACCAGAGTTAAGTTAGGGTTTTTCAAAATGCTGACACACCGAGCTCAAAAGGTTCGCCATCACTGATCTACAGCTTTCTCATTCTGAAGCGTGAGGTCTGCAGTCAGGAATGGGAAAGATGCATAAGCAAACATGTGAATTCCAGTCCCCATATAAATATGACTTCAAACAGCCAGGAAATAGGCGAACAGTGCCAGGCACTCTGAAAAAGTGACCATTAAACAGACAATCAATATGACTATTTTGCCCAGTTTCCCAATTCCAAGTACATGGTAGTCTCCAATTCCTAGAAAATGACGTTACTGAGCTGTTTGGAAGAATTCTCACTGTCACCTGTGAGCCTATTTTGAACTGGACTTGGGCTTCAAGTGAATTACTGGCTGCTTCAATCTCATTATTGTTCTTTAATAGATCTGAGAGCAAGATATATTGACATCATTTCACACACACACACACACACACACACACACACACACACACACACTTTACCAATGAGGAAGCTAAGAAGCAGAGGTTAAATAAATTCTCTGAAGCTGGTAGAGCCAGGAAAATGTTCCTGCAAGGATTTATACCCTCACAGTCCAGATCCAGAGCCTCTTTCTTTTAACCACTAGGCTGCTTCTTGTAACTTACACTGTCTTTTTCAGGAATATTAGTCAAAGATATTCCATTGGATTTGTTTCTAAATCTCTCTACTCATGGATTGCTTTTGTTTGCATAAATTGATCACATTGGCTCTTCCTCACTTAAAGTTGCAGTTAAATTCCAAATCTGTTATATTCACGATACATGTGGGAACATTCAGACTTTTTCTTTTTCATTGGAAGGAAATGGGGACGTATAACCTCACACAATCTCGTTTGTAGTTCAACAGCACCTTTTATTTCCAACTGTGCACCTGAAATGAAGTCTTTAAACAAGTGCTTTTGGGGAGTGTGGATGGCACACACGCTTTGCACCCTTCTCACCTTGCGGATGTACTAGGTGTCCCCGTTAATAATGCGGACTTTTTCACTAGATGGAGTTACACATATGTTGATATATGTGCGACTTGATATGTATGCTATTTTGTTGTACTGACAACAAGCTTCAAAACTTCATATGTCAAATTTTCTGAAGGTGTTAACATCATAGATATTTTTATGCTTAAAAATGTTTAATTTCGTGCCCCCAAAAAAAGAGCATTTGCAGGAAGTTTTAATTCATTACTTTATGGTGAACATGCTCCATCTCAAGATACTTGTGAACGCTGGTTTAAACTCTTTAAAAGTGATGATTTCGATGTGAAAGACAAAGAATGTCCAGGGCAACTGAAAAAGTTTGAAGACCAACAATTACAAGCATTATTGGATGAATATGTGTCAAACTCAAAAACAACTTGCAGAAATATTAAATGTTGCTCAGCAAACAATTTCCAATTGTTTACAAGCAATGGGAATGATTTTAAAGGAAGGAAAATGGGTGCCACATCAACTGAACGAAAGACAAATGGAAAACCGAAAAGTCATCAGTAACATGTTGCTTCAACAGCACGAAAGAAAGTCTTTTTTGCATTGAATTGTGACTGGTGGTGAAAAGTGGATTTATTTTGAGAATCCCAAACGCACAAAATCATGGGTTGAGCCAGGTCAACCATCAACATTGACTGCAAGACCAAATCACTTCAGAAAGGAGACAATGCTCTGCATTTGGTGGGATCAGGAAGGTGTGGTGTATTATGAGCTTCTAAAACCAGGTGAAACCGTTAATACTGATCACTACCGCAACAAATAATCAATTTGAACCACGCGTTGATTGTAAAATGGCCAGAATGGGCCAGAAGACATGGCAAAGTAATTTTGCTTCATGATGATGCACCATCACACTTCAAAACCAGTTAAAAGATCTTGCCTGGGAAGTATTAACCCACCCGCCGTATTCACCAGACCTTGCTCCTTCAGATTACCACTTGTTCCAATCGATGGCACACACACTTTCTGAGCAGCACTTCAAAACATACAAAGAAGTGGAAAATTGGGTCTGTGAATGTATTGCAGATTAATTACTAACCGGTTAATAATGCGGATTAACTATTAACCAGTTAGTAATGCGGATTAATCATTAACCGGTTAATAATGCAGATTAATTATTAACCGGTTGATAATGCGTAATAACTATTAACTGGTTAAAAATGCGGATTAACTATTAACCGATTAATAATGCGGATTTTGTAATCAAAGAAAACACGATAATTTCAAGAGAAACGTCGAAAGTGCTTTATTCAAAGTAATGTCCATCGCTAGTTACACATTTCCCCATCTTTCAGGTAATTTGTGGATACGTCCCAACAGAACTTTTCTTGTTTTGAGGCAGACCATTCAGAGACCCAATTTCCCACTTCTTTGTATGTTTTGAAGTGCTGCTCAGAAAGTGCGTGTGCCCTCGATGGGAACAGGTGGTAATTTGAAGGAGCAAGGTCTGGTGAATATGGCGGGCGGGTTAATACTTCCCAGGCAAGATCTTCCAACTTGTCTTTGGCTCTGACCTTTAAACTTCATTTTAGATGATAACCAGGGGTCCACAGTGACAGCGTATCTTCAGGGAAAGCTGCGATTCAATGTCTCCACAACAGCCACAGAAATGAATAAAGAGGCAATCACAGTTGGTTGTTTTCAAGTGACATCGCATCATTTACGATTTACAAAGACAGCTGAGCGTGGCAGAAAGTTGTTTTGAACCATTAAAACGTAGAGCTCGCCTTTTCTCTTCCTGTTTTGACTGCCCGGTGCACCTGCAGACTGGTTAGGGTTTTTCTTTAGATGGAAAACTCTCCCCCCTACCCCACTCTTCGGTGAAGATTGGGGCATCAAATAGCTTTTATTTCTCTTCCTCTCCTCTCACCACGATTACTCTTTCACTTAAACTTTCAAGATCCTCCATCCGGATCGTAAAACGACTTCCCTTCCATTCTCGGGAATCTAGCAGTTCCCGCACAGGAGAAAGTTTTTATTATAGGTAGATATATTTTTAATGGAAGGAAGGAAGGAAAGAAGGAAGGGGAAAGCCTCGGCGGCCAGCGTTTGGAAAGCGCGTTTTCTCTGCCTCCTCCCCGGCTGGCTGTGGCCCTGCCCGGCTGCCGTAGCGGCCTCGCACCGCCCCCGCCGCCGCCGGGCTCCGCGGTCGGCGGGACTTCCGTGTTGGCGGGATTCTGAACGCTGCCATGGCTCAGACCGTGCAGAACGTTACACTGTCCCTCACTCTGCCCATCACGTGCCACATTTGCTTGGGGAAGGTAATGGGCGATTCCGGGCACGGCTCCGAGACGGGATCGGGGCTGCAGTCGCTCGCGGGAGCCGGGTGCGGGCTCCGAGTGCAGCGGGGACGGGGCGTGAGGCGCTGAGCTGGGTGCGGGCGCCCACCCGCCTCCTCCGCCGGCGCCCGGGGGCCGCCTCCCGGGGACCCAGGGAGCGCGCGGTGACGGACGGGTTCATCCGTGCGCCTTTCGGAGGAGGAGGAGGAGGATGGCAGCGGCCTGGGGTCGGGAAGGAGGGCGGCGAGGGCTCCACCGCCGCCGGCGGCCTCCCAGGCCAGCGCCGGCTGGAAGGAGGCTGGGTCGGACACGGGGCGCTGCAGTGCTCTGCGCCCCTGGCAGCCCGGCCGGTGGAGCGCTTGGTGAAGTCCGAGAAAGCACATTCCTGGAGCCCTCCCTTAGGCTCCTCCGTCCCCTGCACAGCCGCAGTGTCCATGCCCCCGGCCCGCGGTGCTCCTCGGGGAGCCCCGTTTCCCGGGTCCTTTGGCTTAACCGGCCTGCAGCGCCCTTCGCTCCGGGTTCAGCACTTGAACAGTAACTAGCACGTGCCCCGCGTGGTGCTTGGAATGAGAGGCTCGGCCTTCCGTTCCAAGAAGGGGTTCGCCAGCACATGCAATCCCCACTCTTTGTGATGCAAGAGGTGCCTGGAGCGTTTACAAAGCAAGGTGGAGAGAGTAAATCTGAATTCGACATTGGGTTTTGAATGTTCTGATGCATCCATCTATTTCCGTTTGTGCCTCGTTTTCTGTTTTTAAAAGAGCCTCTCGTCACCTCGTCGATAGATCCAGAAGGGGGAGGATACTGTGAAGACTTAGATTTCTTTCCCCACCGGTTGTCACGTCTGTGGTGTGTGTATGTGCATGTGTGTGTTTACCCCCAAGTGCAGACTGAACCTACAGGTGCAGGGTTAGCATTGAGAAGTATAATCTCATAGAGCGAATATTTGAGGGCTGGCCAATGTGGATCAACTGCTTTAGGTGTTTGGGGTTCCGTGTGAATTTACTGAGTTCAAGGAGAGTAGGAAGTCAGTCTGGGAAGCAACTGGTAACTCTTGATGCCCATCAGGATGAAATGCCAACAAAGTAGCAACTGTGCTGTGGGAGCATAGAGGGGATGTCTCCATCACTTCTGATTGGAGAGATGAAGGGTGCTGTCTTGGAGGGTGGTATTTGAATTGGTATTTGCTACCAGTGCCTCGTACATGACTGGGAGGAGGAGGAGGAGATGGTGTCTCTAATTTGGTAAGTCTACATTGGGCCTTGACATGAAGTTCCCACAAGTACGTGCTAAATTCTGAGTGGATTTCCTCCAACAGTAGTCTTAAAGGCTGATAAAAAATATCCTTGGGAAATAAGTTTTACTTGGTCTTAGTTGTATAGTTATAGCGAGTTTCCATTAGTTAATAGGCTGTCTTTTGCACTTGTGTTGAAAACGGGTTCTGCCTGGCTGATTTTCCCTATGCTTTCCATGTTTAACAAAAACTATGCCTACTAGAACATAGTGATTTGCAGATTACAGGTTGCTTTTGCATGTGTTTAATTATTTCACTTACTCCTCTCACGGGGGCTGTGAGCTAGAGTAGACTGGTTTCCCCATTTTTTGAAATAAGAAAACTAAGGCTTAGAGTCTTTGGGATTTGAACCTCTGTTGCTGCCATTTTTTTAAAAATATATTTTATTGATTTTTTTACAGAGAGGAAGTGAGAAGGATAGAGAGTTAGAAACATCGATGAGAGAGAAACATCAATTCAGCTGCCTCCTGCACACCCGCTAGTGGGGATGTGCCCGCAACCAAGGTACATGCCCTTGACCAGAATCGAACCTGGGACCCTTGAGTCCGCAGGCCGATGCTCTATCCACTGAGCCAAACCGGTTAGGGCAACTGCCATTTGTCTTGAGTAGATTGCTTCCTAAAAACTCACTGTAGCTCATTCATGACAACAGAAACTTTTGGTGCCTCTTATTTCCCTGTATTAGTTAAGCTGTATCCTAAAATTACACCTATAGAATAAAAGCCAAAGCTACGGCATGACCGGTTGACCAGTCGCTGTGACATGCACTGACCACCAGGGGGGCAGATGCTCAATGCAGGAGCTGCCCCCTGGTGGTCAGTGTGCTCCCACAGCCAACCTCCCGTGGTCTCTCCCTCCTGGCCGGCCGCCTGATGACCCCGATGAGGGCCAGCCGGCCAACCTCCCACGGCCCCTCCCCCTGGCCAACTGGCCCCCGATGACCCTGATGGGGGCTGGACAGCCAACCTCCCGCAGCCCTGATCAGCCTCATTGCTGGCCAAGTAGAGGGGGGACCCCACCCATGCACGAATTTGTGCACTGGGACTCTAGTTTGATAATAAAAGATTCACGATTTGTAAACAGGCATTTTTTTCCTGTCTACTATGGAGGCAAAAAGTGCAGGGATTGAGGGCCTGAGTTCTATGTTCAGATTGCTTGAGTTCTAATCTAGGCTCTTCCACTTACTAGTTATGTGATCTTATATAGGACAAGTTGCTTACTCTCTTTCAGAGCTGTTACCTTATCTGTAAAATGGGAATGGTAACAATATCAATACTCATGCTTGTGGTTATTGGAGGATTACATGTAGTAATTCATATGCAGTGCTTAGCATAGAGTCTGGCACATAGTAATTAATATTCAATAAACGTTAATCTTTACTATGACACAGAGGCAGGCCAGCAAACTAAGGAAACCAGCCTTTTCTAGTAACTGGTTCTTCCCAGTTGCTTTGTGATGCTAGCACTCACTAGATGATTTACATTCCCAACAGAGTGGTACCTGTTTGTTCTGGAAATTGCCATGGGATGTTCAGCGTTTTAACTGGTTCCCTAGCCTTTTGTATAGTTGAAGCAAATCTGATCTGCTTTTGCTACTCACCCTCCCATTCACGCCTCTACTTGTGGGTTACTGGAGACGACCTGGCCTGGAGTAGCACCTTATTCCCAATGTCACTCCTTCCCTGACACAGCATCTCCAGCTGCCTCTGAGATCTGCCTGCAGGTCTGTCTTTCCCAGCCGTCTTCCATATAAGCCTTGTGCTACCCTCACCATTTGTCCCAAAATCTTGCCATCCGCAACCTTCTCTTTTGATTGTTCAATAGAATTAAGGGGCCATTATTTTTGGAGTGTCACTTGGCGGGAGGTGAGGGAGGTGTATATTACCTTAAAGGAGATGGGGGTGCGGGAGACCTTAAATCTAAGAGATAATATAGATGCTGATTGGGATGGGGGTGGGGAAGAATATCCTGGAAAGCAGCAGTGGAGATAGCCTAAGTGTGCAGGTGGGCAATGTAAGTACTCAAAATTGGAAAGTTTAGACATTTTGCATTTACTACTTCTGTCTCTACCTTAGTCTTAAAGGTGAATTCTTTCTGCCCAATAATGTTAGCAACCCTGCCAATATTGTAAGTAAGAGCTCTATGTGTCCTGAGGAAGTTAGGTACACATCCTGTGCGATTATTTATGTATAACGTATTTTCTTGCCCATTTCTCCTTAATTTTTTACTATGCCTTGGACTAGTGGACCAGCAGAAATATAGGAATGATCTAGCCCAGGATATCTGTTAAGTGATGTCTTGATACTGCTACCAGAATGCTAAGACGAGATTATCTCTAGATAATTCCAGATATTTATCTCTTCAATTAGAATTCAAGCTGTGAAGCCAAATTGTTGTTGCATGAAATATTTTTATTGACCGACTCTGTGTTTTGCCACCAGTGACAGCCAAATGTGTGTGGCCCACAGTTGTTTTAGTAAAAAGTGAAAAGTTACAGCTTTATAGGGTTAATCATTCTGCACCTAGGACTGTCTCCCTTCAGGCCCATTCTGGTGGAAGAGCCCACTCTCACCTTGGTTTATCTTCTCTTCCTTCTCCTCCTCACTAGCCTCAGGGGCATTACCCTCGGATATCACTTCAACATGCTTACTGTACACGTGTTTGGATTGTGCATTGTCACTTACCCTTGCCATTGTCATCTTGCATTTTTATTTCATAAGAGTACTGTTTTATTGCCAGAGACCTCGTTTGAGATTAAGTTAGATATAAACTTTAATAACATAGGCAAATTATGACTATTTATGTATCTTGGGAAGATCTTATTAAAGAACATTATCGTGTGTTTTGGTGTTGTATATAGCAGAATCTGGACTGAGGAAGATGGGTGGACAGGAGTTGAGGGAGGGGTAGATTCTTTGTATTTTGCTCCTGTAGGTTATAGTCAAGTAAGCAGTACTAGAATTTGATTTAGTAATTCTTTCTCCTATACAGGTTTCTATACTTCTAAGGTAAATTTAAATCTAGAAGTCATCATCTAATAATTATGTAGTCAAAGAAATGAATTAGTCAACTGTTTAAAAATCCAACACAATGACAGTGACAGTGCTGTTACCAGTGAGACGAGGAAAGATTTCAATCAAAAGACAAAGTGTAGAAAAACAAGCAAGAATTTACTGACCACAGTAAGAACATACTAGGACAGTGAAACAAGGACCATTGCTCCCCTGGTTGCATATCTCAAATGGTCCTTTAGAGGTTAGGGGATATGTGCCTGTGGGGAAGGATACTGGGACAAAAGGAAGGGAATGAATGGCGCTGGGCCTTGCTCTTGGAGGGAGAGCACCCTGGGACTTTCACTCTCAGGGGTTTTAAAGGCTGGGTGTTTAGGGGAGGTGCTAGGAGAGAATCAATAGAATATTCATCAGCTTTATGCTATGTACCAAAATGAGATTTATTCTCTTAATTTTTCTGTCCTTGGGTGTGGTTGGCAAATGGCACCTAATTGGATTTCTGTGATTTGTCTCCCTCAGTAGTGTAATTTAAACTATTTACCTTCTGGTTGGGGAGAAGTGCAGACCATTTACTCTTAAGTGTCCTGTGTTTAGGAAAAGTAGGATTTACGAGGTGGCTGCAAGCTGCTATTTAGCTATCTGTCTTAGTTTCCCTATTCCACTTGTCCTGAAATTTTCCTG